TTTATATCAGAATTTTTGCAAGTTGCAATCGCGCAAACTGGCATTTCGATAATAGTTTTAAATTCTTGTAAATTCACTGCAAAAACTGAGGAAAGTCATTATAGAAAATAACAAATGTCTTAGAATATCTCGCGAAAAGAAATGATCCAATACTAGTTAGAGCTAGTAAGGCCAAACGCTCCGCTCTTGAAGTAAAAGTGCGAGTTTTGCGCCAAAGTGACGTCACTGGAGTGACGTCGGAGGATCGGCGCGGCGAGAGATACTAGCCCTGCCTTAATTCACGGATATGAGTGTATTTCAAACCAATCCGCTTTAAGGTTTCTGTTGCAACAGTTTTGCTATTAGCATTAAAAAAAGTTTTATTGTTTAAATTGAATGTTTTTCAGCTTAATTTTTTTAAAAATTGTTTACATAGACTAATATTTTTTTATGGTAAACCATGGTAAATGCATTCACCATGGTTTTATTTTCATAGACTCTTAGATACGTAATTTTAAAACTTAAAAAAAGTAACTATGTAAAATATAAAATTATATTAAAAATTTAACAAGGTTAAAATACAAGAATAAATCATATCTCTAATTCTAATTAGACAGATGCATGCTTTTGCAACACTTTAAAAACAACCACTCAAACTCTTTTTTCAGCAAAATAATAAATAAAATAGCGTCCATTTTGAAAACTCCAAGCAGGCATTTTATGTTTTCAGTAATTAAAAAATAATTAAATACAATTATAACGTTTTATTAATAAATACATGTATCATATTCTAATAAAATACATCTATTAAACAATTATTTCTGAAAATTTTTGTGCTAAGCCTTGCACAATGTGTGAATGTTACGAAATTGCTTTCTTTACGCAATTTATTTCTACAATTTAAAATTAATTAAAATTTATAAAAAAAAATTATAAAAAGCATTATATGGCTACAATTGCATATTTCTAATTGGAGCTTGAACTATAAATACTTATTAAACGTTGATAATAGTATGTTCAATTTTTCCATCACATTATTCAAAAAGTTTAAATTATTATGATTATTATTTTTGTTGCTTTTTTTTATAAAAATGAATGCGATATCATTTTTGAATCATATTAAAGAAACATTTTGCAATTGGGACAAAAATAATGTAAGGATATAAAAAAATTATTCTTTAAGCAAAAACTTTCAAAATGCAAAATGATCGCAACAAATTTCGTAAACCATTTAAATATGTTACATCTTTTTTTTAAAATAATTGCATGTACATCTCACAATGCATGTAAATAATTAAAATTGCTTTTGGTAAATCAAAACATTTACCCACATATCTAAGAATTTCTAATAAAAGTCAAAATCTCAATACTAATACAACTTCTAGCTATCTCGTATTGCTATTTTCTTAAATCTATCAATAATCTTTCCTTCGTAACTCATAAATAAATGAAATAGTAAAGCATGAAGCAGATTTAATATCGAATCATGATAATTATATTATCGTTGAACCCATTAGAGTGCAAAAAGCCATATAGTGATTTAAACAAAGTTTTAAAAACAACAAGAATATTATATCTCGATAACATTACCAGTGCAACTTCCATCTAGATAGTCTTAAATAATAAATTCTAATAAATTCGTAGCGGATAAAACAAAAAATTAATATTGTAACAGGATTACATTATCGTCAAAGATATGGATGTGCATAAGGCCATATAATGATTTAATCAAACTGTGTAAAACAATAAGGATATTCTATCCTCGATAACATTACCAGTATAACTTCTCCTTAACTAGTCTGGGTATTTTCTTAAATCCCTCTCTGTAATCTTTCCTTAGTATCCCATAAATGAATGGATTAGTAGCGGAGGAAACAAAAACTAGTATTGTAATAGGATAATCGACCCACGGGAATGCATAAGCATCTAAAAGGGCTTTAACAAGCTTTGCAAGAGCATAAGGTGAGAAGCATATATAATAAACAGTTATTATAGCAATCATGCTATAGATCGACTTCCACATTTCTGAGTCCTTTCTTTTTTTAACTGTCAACTCTTCAGAACGATTGCCAACATGAGAAATGTGAATACCAATGACCTTGTTGGAGCTCTTTCTAATTTGCAGAAAAATTAGTACATTACAGGTGAACATTACCATAGCAGGCACTGCATAACAAATGCAGCAACCACAATAGGTGGCAACTCTTCCGAAATATTCTCGATAAGGAAGAGCGCATGCAGCCTCATAATAATCATATGATAAATTTGAACTTGAGCCGTTCATTATTGCAACTGAACCAGTATTTCCGATTATCCACAAGCAGATAGATATCATGGCCTTTCTAGTCATCCAGGAATTATATCTTAAAGGAAACAGTACAGCCACAGCTCTGTCAAAACTTATCATGGCTGTAATGTACGATGAAGCACAGGCACACAAATAATTAAATACAGCATTTATTCTGCATAATGTGTCTCCAAATGGCCAACCATCTGTTGCTACAGCTATAGCTGAAGGTATCATGACGAATATTGCCGTCCAAACATCAATGCAAGCAAGAAACACAATAAGGATATTTCCGCTTTGAGATCGAAGGTTTTCAATCCATAATGTAGTAATAATGACGGCAAGATTACCAACGAGCGCTGTGCAGGCTATTATGCTTGTAAAGAAAGAACCAATGATACTGGAGAATGGTAATTGATGATGTTCAGCGAAAGGAGCTTGTGTGAAATTTAAACTGTGTTCATCAATGCTGTTGGTCAAATTTGTTGACCCCATTCTGAAAAAAATAGCAGAATATTGTAATAAAACTTATTATTTAACATAAACGTAAATATTTTATTTTAATATAATTTAACAACATCGTATCTGTTTAATAAAGTGTAGCATAAATTATTTTGTATGTTCAGTGCAAAATATTTTTAAGGTATGTAAAAGAGAAAAAAAAGAAACTTTTAATCTATTTACCCTTTCTGGCCAAACTTAATGGTTTGAAATAAGACATTAAGGAACAGTGAAAAAAATTCTTTGTTTATAAACTCAAGATCCAATAGAGAATAAAATATAGGTTTTACACTAAAGTGTCAAAGAATGTCAATTGCATTAAAGTACCAAAAAACTCAAAATGTTGAGTAGTTAATATCATAGTATTTAAAACCTTCCCTATTAAGTAACAGTAAAAAAATTGGATTAAATTTTATTTAAGAGCTGTGAAAAATTTTAATATTATCAAGACATATTTCGTGGGTCCTCTAAAGCCACCGAAATATTAAACAATTAAATAGGAATCTAGTATTTCAATACTTATTAACGCGTGTTGGGAGTGTTCCGACATCAATGAACAGTTAGTTTAAATAATTGTTTTAAATCGTCTGCTAACTCTTGTAAATATAATAACTACAACTCTGGCTGGTTGCTAGGCAACCAAACGACTTTTTCTTGTTATTAATGCTTTTTGTTTATTGTTTGTCTGTGTATGTCTGTGGAAATAAAAGACATATAACATATTGAGAAAATAACATATTGAGAAGAAAAAAAAATTGCGTTCCTGCGATTAAAGAGGTGAGAATTTATTTACGCAACTTCATATTTATTTCCTTTACACTTAATCAGAATGACTTCAACGTAAAATGATTCGATTGACAAAATGGCGCTATTGAAGCGCAAACGTAGAACAATTCGAGCTAATATTACTCGCTTCATTAGCCAACTAAAGGACACTTTAAATTCTAAGCCGAAAGCGGATATTGAATTCACTTGTAGTCGTCTTGCCGAAGTGCTTAATGACTTGGAAATAGTGGATAATGATATACACATATTACTTTCGGATGCGGAATACGAAGTAGCGCAATGTCAAGAATATACGGATAACACCAAGCGTGCGATTTTTGATGCCAATCGTGCTATGAGAGATGATCAAAACAAGAATGAGACTGTAGCTTCACCAAATGTTACTAACTTTCCGATTCAAAATGTGAATTCTATGTGACCACAACAAAATGTAAAACTACCGACAGTAAAATTAGAACCATTTCGTGGCGACGTTGAACATTGGCAATGTTTTTGGGAACAATTTAAAACGTCTGTAGACGATAGTCCAAATTTTTCATCGATTAATAAACATGTTTTTCTCAGGGGATATTTAGAAGTTGAACCAAGAAGATTGGTTGATGGTATAAGTATTATTGCAGATACATATGAAACCACAAAGAAGCTACTTATGGACAAATATGGTGGCAAAAATAGAATTATTCAATCTCATTTGGATTTTTTAGAGAATTTAACGCCAATCCGCAATCCATCACCAACATCACTGAATGAAGTTTATATTGAATGCAACAAAAGGTTACAGGCTCTACGTGTTTTGGGCGAAGATATTGACGCATACGGTAGAGTTTTATCCTAAAATTTTACGTGCATTCCCTGACGATATTTGTTGCCGATGAGTTATTCATGCGAAACGCCAAAAAATTTCAGAAGTTGATATCACACAACTAATACATTTTCTCGCCGAAGAAGTAGAAGGGCCTTTACAACAAGCAAGATTAAAGGTCTTATGTCTTCTGATTGCTTCTTAAAATCCACATTAGAAAACTTCAATGTAAATCCCAAGCCAATTACTAAAAGTAAGAAACCTTCACCCTTTTGTCCCTTTTGCGAAACTGCCGAACATTGGCCCCAACAGTGCAACTCTATGACAGATATAGACTCACGAATACAGAAATTAAAAGCGACGAATCGATGTTTTTGTGCACTGGACGAGGGCACACAAAACAGAGCTGTGCTCGTAAGGAAAAGTCCTGTTGTGTGAAATACAAGAAAAAGCACCATGTTTCAATTTGTAAGAGCAGTACTGATCACCCAGGTACTACGTCTACACACAAGATCGATATTGCTACACCCATCACTGTGCATTTCCAAACTGCGAGAGTTTTTATAACAGGCCCGACTGGTGCTGCAAGATTGACCCGTTGTCTTCTGGATGGAGGTAGCCAGTCTAGTTTCATTTATAATGATCTTGTTGATCGTTTGAAATTAAAAGTTATTTCTACAAAACCATTGGAAGTACGTCAATTTGAATCAACAGCAAATTTTTCCCATATGAGACGAAAAGTGAAGTTTAAACTATCGAGCTATTGAAATCAGTCTTCAGTTAATATTGAAGCATTTGAAAGTTCAAATGAATACACGTCACATCCATCTGTTCCAACTGATGTTTCGTGACTCGCATTCCAGAAAAGAATGAATCTGGATGACTCTTACGGTGACTTACAAAATCTGCCTTGATTGGTGCTGATTTCTACTGGCAAATATTGAACCCTGAAGCTCCGGTTATGCTGTCAGAATCCCTTGCTTTCGTTTCGTCATATTTCGGGTGGATTCTGAGTGGACCTCGATCATGCACAACAGTTTCCAATGTAGCTACTGTAAACTACCACAACACATTAACTCAACAAGAACCTATCAATGAAAGTGAAAGTTGCTTCTGGGACTTGGAAACAATTGGAATCACCACTTCTCAGGATAGAGAAATGTCTAAACATAATTCAACTGTTTTGAAGATCTTTCGTGTCTCATTTAAATTAGTTGATAATTGTAGGGTCGTGTCATTACCTTGGAAAGCTATGGTCTCAACATTACCAACAAACAAAACTACTGCTGAGAATAGATTTCAATCACTTAAAAAAAGACTGACATCAAATGAATCTTTGAAAACACAGTACGAAAAATGCATGTTGAATTACTTTGAACAAGGACGTGCTGAAGTTTGCCCATTTGCAGACGAAACTGAAAACCCCGTGTACTATCTGCCACATCATGCAGTGAAAAAGAAGCAACAAGATGATATAAAGTAAGGAATCGTCTTCGACGCCTCATCACATGCTCCAGGCATGCCATCATTAAACGATTCTTTAGAAATTGGTCCCAATCTACTACCTGAGACTGTTGGTTGTCTTTTACGATTTCGACTGTATGAATTTGCCTTAACCTGTGACGGTAAACAAGCTTTCCTCAGAAATGCAACGAGATTCTTCTGGTACAAACAAAAGAAAGGCTCTTCAAAAACAGCTACGTTCACAGATGAAGTAACTACATACAGATTCACTCTCTTACCATTCGGACTGTCTTGCAGCCTTTTACCCTTCTGTGCAACTACACGAGAACTAGCCGCTAATCATATAAATGACTTCCCTACTTCTGAAGCACTCTTAGATAAACACCTATATATGGATGATTTTGTGGTTAGTCTAGAAACTGAATCGCAAATAATGGTATTACAAAAGGAAGTCAAAGATTTGATGTCACTCATAAAACTATCGATGGAAAAATGGGCTACTGACTCTTTAAAGCTTCAACACTTACTGGAAGCTAACAAAGAAAATTTCAAGACCGAAACTACAGTTTTATGCATTGGATGGAACACGAAAACTGATACCTTGAGCAACGCTTTCAAGACTTCACTCTGTGCTCCTCCAGATAAGCCACTTACTAAGAAGTGGTTACTCCACTGTATTACAAGTTTATACGATCCCTTAGGACTGTTTACACCATTCACGATAATTGGAAAGATACTCTTTCAAGATACTTGGATTCTTGGAATCAATTGGGATGAAATTTTACCGACAAACTTGGCTGCTGTGTGGCATACAGTTACAACCCAGCTCGATGCCATTTCCTCAAAAGAAGTTCCTCGTTTCATAGGAATTTCATCGCTTGATTCCTTTAATATTCATATATTCTACGATGCATCAGAGCGAGTTTATGTCGCAGTTTTGTACATAGTTACTTCTCGTAATAATCAATCAAGTATCCATTTAGTATGCAGCCGCAATAGACTTGCACCTATAAGGAAAGTTAGTCTTTTACGCTTAGAGCTTTTAGCAGCTGTGATTGGTACCAGACTGCTGAAATTTTTTCGCAATGATACTGGATTGTCGCAATCTACTGCCACATTATGGAGCTACTGTGAAGTCCCCCTTGGTTAGATTCAGGGTAATTCCAACACATGGAAAACATTTGTGTGCAACAGGGTAACAGAAAGCATTTCATACACTGACCCTTCACAGTGGAGGCATTGCCCGGGGCAAGACAATCCAGCGGACAAACTATCAAGAGGCGTTCAACCATCTACACTGAAAGATCTCAACATCTGTGGAACGGACCCACTTGGCTGACTGAACCCATGGAAAGCTGGCCAGATTCTAAAAAAGATTACTCTCATAGTTTTCAGGTAAAGAAAAATAAAGAAATTCAAACATTTCATGTTACTACTTTTCAACCCATCATAGACGCAAAGAATTACAGCTCCTACTTCAGACTGCTACGCGTTACTGCATGGATTCTACGCTTTATCTCGAACTGCAGATCTCAAGACAAGAAAGTCGGAGAATTTGACACTGTAGAAATATATGATGCTAGAAATTACTGGATACAAGTGGTGCAAAAAGAGTCATTTCCGTTAGTATACGAAGCTTTATCAACATCCAAGTCCCTGCCAAAAAATTCAAAAATTACAAAATTCAGCCCACTATTTGAAAATAAATTATTAGGTATTGGTGGTAGGTTACAGTTTTCGAGTTTATCAGATTCCCTAAAACTTCCAATCTTGCTAGACGGATCTCATCATTTCACAAGTCTGCTGATTCGTCAAACACATGTCAAAATGCATCACCTAGGTGTCAGAATAGTGCTTTCAGAACTACGTTCAAATTTTTGGATTCTACGAGGCCGTCAGGCCATCAAACAAGTGATTTGTAAATGCTTACCGTGCAAGATGTCACGAGTAATTCGCCGCACTCAAATTAAAGCTCCTCTACCAGCTGATAGAATTAATCCAGTTACACCATTTTTCACCACAGGAATAGATTTTGCCGGCCCTGTACATGCTCGAACTTTAAATCCTTCAGATACAGCTTACATTGCAACGACCAGAGCCATACATCTCGAACTTGTGTCAGATCTTTCGATAGACAAGTTTCTGGTAGCATTGCAGCAATTTGTGGGTCGTAGAGGACTACCACATACCATCTATAGTGACAATGCTGCCACGTTCCACTCTGCAAATAAGGAATTAATACTTCTACGGAACACTCTTACATCTACTAAAGTGCAACAGTTTTACGCTCATAATGGCATAATTTAGAAGTTCATCGTACCCAGAGCGGCTTGGTGGAGGGGTTGGTGGGAGCGCCCAATCGGATTAGTGAAAAACTGTCTTCTTAAATCTCTTGGTCGGTCACTATTGGACAAAGAAAATCTATCGACTGTACTAGTAGGGATAGAAGCCGTCCTTAACAGCAGACCCATTGTATATGAAGAGGGTGATGAAGACTATACGGAAACCTTGACACCGGCACATTTCCTAAAGGGTAGAAAATTAACATCTATACCCACAAATCCTGAATAGCAATCCAAGACTTACGAAACTCTACAAACAACAAGACGTATTGGATATATTTTGGAAAAGATGGTCCAAAGAATATCTGCTGCAACTTCGCTCTTATCAGAAGTTATTGCAGGTTCGCAATATTCATAACTCCTTCAACATCCGTGCAGGTCAACATCTTGTGCTACTACAAGAAGATGTCAGACCCAGACACATGTGGAAGAAAGCCCGAATTACCAATGTAATTAAGGGACGTGATGGGGAAATTCGAACATGCGTGTTAAGAGTGGATGGAAAGACTATAAATCGACCTATACAGCTGGTCATCACTCTTGAGGTTGACCAGGGTGGGGAGGATGTTCCGACATCAATGAACAGTTAGTTTAAATAATTGTTTTAAATCATCTGCTAACTCTTGTAAATATATATATAATAACTACAAATATATATGTAAATATATATATAATAACTACAACTCTGGCTGGTTGCTAGGCAACCAAACTACTTTTTCTTGTTATTAATGTTTTCTGTTTATCGTTCGTCTGTGTATGTCTGTGGAAATAAAAGAATACAAAAGCTAACAAGGAGGTCCTTTCTAAGCTACAGTAAAAATAATTGAATTAAATATAATTCAAGGCAGTGCGAAATTTTAATATTAACAGGAATTATTTGGAGAGTTCACCATTGCAAATAAAGAAGTACGAAACAAAGAAAAAATTGCTTTCTTGAAAATTGTTTTAACTCCATTAAGTTACAACCAACTATAATTGAATGTCTGTAAATGACGCCATCATAGGTAAATTGTGCCCAATCAGAAGCCTATCAGGTTAGACACACATGCGTGACGTCGCTTGCGAAAATCCAATTAAATCTGATTTAAATCACATCTTACCACTTCACTTCTTCTGGAGTTGCAAGTACCCAATTAAGCAAAATTTAGCACAATTGTCACTAGACCAATTTAAGGAGAAAAAAAGATAAATTAAATGTTTAACCTAAATATATATCAGTTTCGAAATCAATTTATTTTTCAAAACTGGAATCAAGATGCGATTGCAAATAAGCTTTAATTAATTTTTAATATCAGTAGAAATTCAGTTGAAGTGGATTTCCATGTGAAAAGCACGAAATAAAATTAATTAATTGTTGTCAATAATTAATAATGATTATAATTATAACTTAATGATTTTTATTCCGTAAGAGTTGTCCTAAACAATAATAAAGTGCATGACAATGAGATCTATTGCAAATTGTAAAAGCAGACGATATTTTTGGAACTTTTTGCTAGTCTCCAGGATTAGTTAGGATTCTATTGTAGATATGCTGTTAAGGGAAGATTTTTCTAGTTATTCGAGGGGGTGATTGCTAAAACGGATTCTCCGTTAGGCAGAAAATTCTTAACTTTTAAAAAAAAAGTTAAAACATAGACAGTCAACAAAAGAATTGCCTATTTGCAAATAGTTGTGTGAAATAACATTGTTTGATATGTTAAAACCTATGGAGTTCTTGTTTTTTTTTAATATAATTTATTCAGTAATTTTTTCTTTATTTACTTGGCATGGAGTATTTCATCGGCCAATCGACACAGTTCTAAAACAGTTCATTTTAAAAATAAATAAAACAAAATGACTATATAAAAAATGAAATCATACTAAAAATTTAACAAGATTAGAAAATAAAACTAAATCATATCTCTGATTCTAATTAGAGTGATGCGTGTTTTTGCTACACTTTAAAGACAACCTACCAAACTCTTTTTCTAATAAAAATAAATAAAATACTCTTCATTTTGAAAACTCCAAACTGTCATTTTATGTTTTCAGTAATTAAAAAGTAATTATGTACAATTAAAACGTTTTGCTAATAAATACATGTACCATCTTTTAATCAAACACTTTTATTAAACAATTATTTGTGAAACTTTTTACGCAAAGCCTTTTACAAAGTGCCAAGGTTACAAAATTACTTTCTTTACACAATTTATTTCTACTATTTAAAATTAATAAAAACTTACAAAAACTATTAAAAAGCATTACTTGGATACAATTATGATTCTAATTGGAGCTAGTACTATAAATACTTCTTTTGAACATCGAAAATAGTATGTTAAAAATTAATACTAATAATTTTTGAAACATATTTAAAAAACAAATTTGCAATTCGTACAAAAATAATATAAAGATATAAAAAAATCTTGTAAATAAATTCTTAGTTTTCAATAAAAAAAAATTTTTGCAACTTCTATCTAGCTAGCCTTGGTATTTTTTTAAATACCTCTCTATACAATTTTCTTAGTGTCTCATAAATAAATGGATTAGTCGAGCTTGAAAGGGATATTAATACTGTAGCAGTGTCACATTGTCGTTAAATCCATGAAAGTGTATAAAGCCATATAGTGACTTAAATGAACTATATAGTATATGCTTATAATAATAACAGTATAATTTTTTTTCTAGCTATTCATGGTATTTTCTTAAATACCTATCTTTACACTGTCTTAGTATTCTATAAGTGAATGGATTAGTAAGGCTTGAAAGATAAATTAATATTGCAGCAAGATCACATTATTGTTTAATCCATGAAAGTGTATAAAGCAGTATAGTGATTTAAACAAACTTTTCCAAACAATAAGGATATAATATCATCTATAACATTACCAGTATAAATACTCTTTAGTTATAGTCTTGGTATTTTTTTAAATCTCTTAATTAAATCCTTCCTTATTATACCATAAATAAATTAATTAATTCCGTTGCGGACGAAAAAAAAACTAGTATTGTAACAGAATTACATTATCATAAAATCCATGGCAGTGCATAAGACCACATATAACTTAAAACAAACTGTGCAAAGCAATAAGAATAACATTACCAGCATGGATTCTCTCTAACTATCATTTGTACTTTCTTAAATCTTTCTGTATAATCTATCCAAAGTATTCCATAAAAGAATGAATTAGTGGCAGATAAAACAGAAATTAATATTGTAACAGGATTGCCTTATAGTTAAAAATATGAGTGTACTTAAGACCATATAATGATTTAATTAAACTGTGTAAAACAATAAGAATATTATATCCTCGATAACATTACCAGCATAACCTCTCTTTAACTAGTCTGGGTATTTTCTTAAATCCCTCTTTATAATCTTTCCTTAGTATCCCATAAATGAATGGATTGGTTGCAGATGAAACAAAAATTAATATTGTAACCGGATAATCGACCCACGGCAATGCATAAGCATCTAAAATGACTTTAAGAATCTTTGCAAAACAATAAGGTGAGACGCATATATAATAAACAAATATTATAGCAATCATGCTATAGATCGACTTCCGCATTTCTGAGTCCTTTCGTTTTTTAACTGTCAACTCTTCAGAACGACTGCCAACATGAGAAATGTGAATATCAGTGACCTTGTTGGAGCTCTTTCTAATTTGCAGAAAAATCAATACATTACAGATGAACATTACCATAGCAGGCACTGCAAAACAAATGCTGCTACCACAATAGGCGCTAATTTTTCCGAGATATTCTCTATAAGGAACAACGCATACAGCCTCATAATGATCATATGATAAATTTGAATTTAAACCGTGTA